CTGCCAGTCTCACAATTCCAAGCATGATGAGAATCCACTCATTGACATAGTCCCCCTTAGAATCTTCTTTGCCCAGATTTTCACTGCCAATATGTGGCTGGGGTAGATATCAATTTGCTCTATCCTCCGTCCGGTAGTGGTAGCAGGCGTTCTGTGCAGGTTCCTATGGTTTGCTATATCCTTCATGTGCACCTGGAGATACTGTCCATTGCTCCATCTGAACCTCTAAGGAGGCTCAGCTTTGACACATGGAACCTGTACTTCTCTTCATGGTTGAAGTTCTGAGATCAGCAGTTCAGCTGGAGGGATCCCCAAAGAAACTTTGTCTGAGGTGATCCTAGACCTGAATGTTGTATTTGCATGCCAATACAGGGTCCATACAGGGTCCCGCACAGTCTGTTACCTCAATCAGCTTTTGCATATGCTGGTGGTTGCAGTTGCTGGGTCAATTCTGTTATCAGCCCTGTCCTTTATGCAAGTCAATGGGTGTCACAGTCCATCCTGATCCTGCCCACCACATGGTCCTCACGCAAACCAGTGGGATCTGCAGCCTAGTTGGGGCCACTCCCCATAACCCTTATCAGGCCCTCCCCCTGACCTGGTTTCTGTGCTTGTCAGCAGACTGCTCCAGTTTGTCCCACATCCTGTTCAGCTCTCATGTCAATAGGCATTGAAGCCTAGTTCAACTCAACCAGCCCCACTGTCCAGCTCCCACACACACTGGCAGCTGCCATTCTGTCTAGCCACTGATGCCCCAGTCCTGGTTTTCGTGTTCTCCAGTGGGAATGGCAACCCAAGAGGGAGGTGCTCTCTGTTTCCCTACTGGGTCCACTCCCACATCATGCACTCTCCAGGTGGTTCTGCAGTTTAACTTGACAGAATTAGACTCCTGTGCCAGCATCTGCCAACTGATGCTACGACAAAGCCCAACCAACCCTCACCCATTCAGTTTAACTTGACGGAGTTAGCCTCCTGTGCCAGCATCTGCCAACTGATGCTGCGACAAAGCCCAACCAACCCTCACTCATTCTGATCTATGCTTGCACCAGTAGGAATAGTCAGTGCAGCCTGACTTTTCCCTGATCCTTGCAGTGAACATGATATGATGTCATATTATATATAAATCATATTTTGTTGAAACTTGGGTAAATTATAGATGGAAAACAAATTTGTCAATGTTTTTCTTCTTTCTGAGTTGCCATTAGCTGGCTACTTAATTATTTTTTGTGCTTGCGTTTTCCTGAAAGTGTGATGGATTTTAATTCCTGTAGGTTTTTTGTTTTGTTTTGTTTTGTTTTTAGAAAGAATGCTTTTGTGTGTCAGTAATGCTGTAAGTATAGTTTTGTCAAACTTCATCTCATATCTTTGTCAAATGGTTTACAATGATATATTGCCATGGTTTCAATGATCTGTGATTTCTTTTAAAGTTTATTGTACGGATGCACTTGGCTCTTTTCATCTGATTATTGTTTACACACACAAACACACACACCGATCTTTTGTCTGCAGGCCCAGAAGCTCCATCCCAATCTCCCATGTGATAGCTAGGGCCCAAACACTTGGGCCATTTCTGCTGCTTTTCCAGGTTTATTAGCTTGGAAGTGGAGTATTCAGAACTCACACCAGTGGTCTTATTAGACATTAGTATTTTGGGGAGAGGCTTAACTCCATGCACCACAACGCAGACCCCTATTCTGTTCTTTAGAAGGGTAGTTTTGTGGATAATTTTCTATTCTCCCCAGAACCTGAAGGTAATGTGTATCTCCTGGACATGTTTTCTTGAGAAAGTTAAACCTCCTCTCTCTACACCGTAGGTTGTCAAGATTTTCTGATTTTGCTTGAATGCTCCCATAAGCTTACATAGGAATGTTATTTTTGTTTTTTTAAAGATTTATTTATTTTTTATTACAAAGTCAGATATACAGAGAGGAGAGACAGAGAGAAAGATCTTCTGTCGAATGATTCACTCCCCAAGTGAGCGCAATGACCAGTGCTGCGCTGATCCGAACTCAGGAGCCAGGAACTTCTTCCGGGTATCCCACATGGAGGCAGGGTCCCAAGGCTTTTGGCCGTCCTTGACTGCTTTCCCAGGCCACAAGCAGGGAGCTGGATGGGAGGTAGAGCTGCTGGGATTAGAACCAGCGCCCATATGGGATCCCGGGGCATTCAAGGTGAGGACTTTAGCCACTATGCCACATCGCCAGGCCTGCAGTGTTATTTTTGGTTCTTTCCAAATATGAATAAAATCTAAATCAAACTGAAATTCAAGCTGGCTGTGTTTCATTGTATATACATTTTTGTATGGCACTGTATGTCCATTCAGTTGTTCGTTCATTCATTCTGTCACTAAATTAAGGTGACTAGGTGTTTAGGATACAAACAAGGTAAGATTTTAAGAGACCACTCAGAACTTGTCAATGGTGTAGCAACATAATTAACTGCTTACTATGTATTATTTTATTAAATACCTAGTTTGTGACAGATCCTGTTATATTCATTGCTAAGAGCATATGCCATTAATAAGATTACGTGTAAAATGCATCTGAAGGCTGAATAGCATATGGGCATCAGAAGGATATGTGTAGTCTCAAACACGAGAAGATGACAGCTTGAGTACATATTTAGGTAGACAGAGTTAGAAAGAATTGGAAATTTAAAAAAGTTATTAGAGTTTTTCAGTGATGACTAAATGCCAAGGTAAAACATTTGTATGATTTGATTATGGTTTGTCCTCTAAAGCTCAGGTTGGAATTTTTTTTTTACCAGTCAGAGATCATCAGGGGACCTTTGCAGATGATGTGGGCTCTACTTTCATGAATGGATGATTCTATTCACGCTTCTAGTAAATGAATGGATTAGTGTGTTGAGGTGTTATCTCCATAATGAGTCTGATATGAAGTCAGTCAGGTCTTGTATGCTCAGTCTCTTACAACTGTGGTATTTTGTGCTGCTCCAGACCTCTTCCAGAAAGGAAGTCATCACTGTGTTCTGTACCTTGACCTTGAAACAGACATGTAAGGCAAAATAAAACTCTTCTTTCTAAAGTAGTCTGTACTGCATCATCAACAATATTAAGCAAGCATAGTAGAAAATGTTTCTGAGTAGAAAAGCGTATTGTTAGTGTCTGTGTAAATGTTCAGATAGTTTTTAATGCTTTGAACTATTCAACTGCAGTAGGCAGTTGGATACAGGAGAGACACACTTTGGGAGTCACGTTCGAGTTTATGGAGATTGTGCTTTGGGCTATTTTTGCTACACGGAGTGGAGCGAATTTACTTCCCCCTTGAATGTGTTATCTCACCCTTTAAGTGAGAGCATACTTGGGTGGAATCTCATGATAGTTTTGCCTAATAAGAGCTGCTATTATTCCAGAAGTTTCTGTGATGATAGCTATACCTGCACTTGTCAAAATGGTTATAACTAGCTACATGTGTCAAATTAACATTTAAATTGTAGTGTGAACCAGGAGCTGAATTTTAATGTTTGTTAAAGGTTAATGAGCTTAATTTTGAATAGCCACATACACTATATGACATTTTGTGTTGGGTAGTGTACTGGAGAATGGACAAAGAACACAGGAGATATTTCCAGTAGGTATCATGACTAAGAAGAATGGTAGAGATGACACATGATAGCAGGTGGATGAAAGAGGGGACAGAAAAAACTACTGTCCATGTAAATCAACCTTTCCCCATTCCAAGATCACAGGATATCACTACTTTCCAGGACCATAAGATATATACTATCTGTGCAAATAGAGATTTATCAATATATATAGACTAGTTAAAATACTTCTAGCTTTTTTTCAGATTTAGAATCATTGTACTAATGATTGTACTACACTGTGACTTTACATGGGACAGAGGCATTCTCAATGTAACATAGTACAGTAGTTAAGATATAGATTCTGCAATTAGGCAGCCTGAGTTCAAATCTCTTGTTCTACTATGCGTTAGCAGAATGACACTAAAGAAGAGTCTTGAATTCTGTCTGTTATTGTCAGTACTAACTCTAGCTTAGCGCTGGGTTATTTCAAAATTCAAATCACCTTGAACACTTAGAAAAGCACCTTGAATGTAGTAAAGAGGCAATAAATACTACTATCATTAACCTTAAAAGTAAACTTACAGAAATCATTTAAGACATGTTTTGAAACATTAAGAAAAAAGAACAATCTGGAGGTAGGGTTTGCCACTTTGATGCCAGCGTTACATATCCGATGGCCATGTCAGTTCCCAGCGACACCACTTCCCAACCAGCTTCTTGTTAAATGAAGCTGAGAACAATAGAGGATAGCTAGAGTGCTTGTGTATGGCATCCTTGTAGGAGACCCACACGGATGGATTTCAGCCTGGCACAGCATTGCCTGCTCTGGCCCTTTGGGAGTGAACCAGGAGGTGGAAGATCTCTTTCTCTCTCTCTCTGCCGTTCAAAGTCATTTATAGGCAACTTTAAAAAAAATCAGATTGGTCTTACTAGTCATTCAGTGTTACTTATTTTAGAGTCTCTATTTGAGATGTCCAGTTTCTTATCTCTTTTCTTTCTTTTTTTTTTTTAAGGAAAGCTTTGCACCAAAGAAAGCTCACAGCAGCTTTATTATTTCTGTAAGAAAGAGTGCCTTAAGCTAAATTTTCCTGTGTTAAAAATTTATATATTTTCCTTCTTCAAACATTTTTATGTCTGTCTTTCCAATTGTTTTCCACATCAGTTCATTTTTATTTTAGAAAGAATTTGAGCTTTATTTGAGACAAGATCTATGATCAGAAGCTTTGTAAAGACAAAAAAAATATTTAAAGGAGAAAAATAACCTTTAAAATATTTATTCTTAAATACTTTATATTTGAGAGAATCCTGCCAAAATGTTTTACATATCTATACTTGAATTTATTAGAAGATTATTAACCAGATGTTAACTTAAAATCACAATTATTTATTTCCTAGAATCTATAAAAAATGAAAAATTTTTAAAGAACAATATTTTTTTCTTATTATTTTAACAGTGATTCCTGAGTTTGTCACACAAGTGAATGTTGCCCTGGAAGCCTTAAGCAAGAACTCCTTGAATGTATTTGATGATAATCAATTTGTGGATATCTCAAAGAAGATCTATGATACAATTCATGACATCAGGTGTTCAGTCATGATGATTCGGGTAAGTTTTGCTGAACCTTTCATTGGGTTATTGCAACACTCTTCAGCAATGATTGGAATAATTGTAAGAAGTATTTTATACCCGTTCATTAATGTCAATACTGAGATACATCGTTCCTGTAGAAATTCATGTATATCCCCAAAGTCAGATCTATCATCATAAACTTATCAAGTGATAAGTTAAACAATAAGCACATTTAACTGTGATGTGTGCAGAGACGTCAGGAGTCATCGTGTACAGGTGTCACATTGCATGATTTAGGAACTAGACCCATATCCTTAAACTGATTTGCTTTGTCTTCTTGAATAACAAGGATCCATCTTATTGAAGTAATAGAATCGATAAGAACAGCAAACCTTTGAGCCATTTTGGTTTGTGATTGTCTTTTGGGATAAATGCCCACGTATGCCACCTTCTCAAGAGTGTAAATGCAGCATTTGTTGCAGAGCTATTGTACAGAGACCAAGATCATATGCATTTATATAGATAGTATTGATAAGTTTTTCAGAAAATATGTGTGTACACATACACCTTATCTTTGTATGGATATACTTCCTCTGCGGACTCTTGTCAGTATTCCACTCAGGAAAAAATGAGATTAAGACAGTGAGGCCAGGCTAGAAAAGACATCAAGAAGGTATAATTACGAGTCTTTGCAGGCAGCTGGGGTTTGACCATGGTGAACTCTGGGGTATCTGTAGAGCTTACCTCAGCATCACCTCACCAGAGGTGAACAGTGGAACTACCTGTTCATCCTTCGTTAAAAGATGACTTCAGAAGCACCAACTGGGACTCAGACTCGGTTAAGCTTTTGTGTCTGAAAATAAATAAATAAAAATAAAAGAAGCAACTCATCAGGCAGGATGACATGGTAAATGCAGTTTGTAACTGAGGGTGGAGTTCAATTTTGAAAACCTCTGGACTTGCTGTTAGTATGACTCCACAAGGCAAATAGAAATGCTGAGAAGACTTGAGCAGTGCATCAGTAGTATCTGAGAGGTCTGGACGTCAGCATTAGACTACGCTGAGCACTCCACAAAACTGAGGTCAGTTGTGGATTTTGTAATGAAAAATGTCACCAGACCTTGGAGCGCATAGCTGAGCAGTTGGATGCTGCGGAAGATATGCTAACAGAAAGGTAAGGCAATACAATGTGAACAGCATTTCAGGACTGAGGAAAATCTAAAAGCAATTTACTTGCACAAAGCAGAGAGAAAACTCAGTGTATAGATAGTCTCTGATTGACCAATGCTTAAATTTATAATTTTTGACCGTATGAAGCTATGAAATTTCAAAGTTTGGATTTTGATCTTTTTCCCAACTAATGATATGCCATGTGGTACTTACTCTCTTGTGATGCTTTTCAGGGATGCGCAAAAGTAAATTTTAATCTAGTGTTTGATTATTCTATATTTTGAATTAAAATTGTGTGGCATATAGGATATGTAGAAATTTATCAATTTTGTTCCCCATTTTCTTTCCTTTTAAAAATATTAATAGTATTAATTTTGTCTTATTTTGTCTTAAGAGCCTTAGGATTATAAGTGAACCTTTATGAAACAAGAATTGGTTATGTAAGTTCAATACGCATGATCTTAATGCGTATGTCATGGTTCACATAGGGTAATCTTATACCCTTGTTTGCTCTCAAAAGCATCCAATTAGAAATGATAACGCTCACCCTGGCTCTGAGTCCTGATCTGCTGCCTGATGCCCCATGGTCTGTCACCCTCACCCATGGTCTGTCACCCTCACCCATGGTCTAGCACCCTTACCCATGGTCTGTCACCCTCACCCACTGGGCAACTTTCTACTGATGGCAATTCTGTCAACCCCAGGGAAAACTCACGCAGCCCTAATGCTGTCTCATACTAGCTTGTTCTCATCCAGGGTTTCAGATCGTTGTTGATTGTGGAAAATCTATCCACGTGCCATTGAACACGTATTTAGCAAAAGGCTCTTTTTTTTTTTTACACCTTTTCATCTCTCAGTGTTAAACAGTTTTCTTAACTTCATCTTAGTCACTCCACCATTCTTTCTCAGAAAAGTCTTGCCAGAGAAGCCCAGGACAAATACTCTGTCCTTCCTAAAAATGATATGACTTTTATGTCAGAGCCAGTTAGTAAAGAAGCCATTTCTTAAGAGAACTTAATAAAACATCCTACAGCAGAATAACCTTAGCTTTATATGTAAATTTAAATCCAACTGTAGTGGGAAGAATTCTGTAGTAGGGCTCTTTCTTTTATCTCTGTAAAAAAAAAAAAAAAGAAGGTGAGGGAATCCAGAAATGCCAGCTGGCACTGGTCAGCAAGAAATGAAGTCATGCTCTCAGTGCACGTAATGGCCTTTTTCATGTGTGCCATTTAAACGGACATTTTAGTAAGGAACAGAGTTAGCCAAGTAAGATGTAATATTCATCAAAAAATGTATTGGTTAAGCTACAAATGATGTAGGCAGTGAACTCAGTAACCCATGCTGTGGCAGAGATGTTCAGTTAGAAGTCATGTGCAGTTCTCTTTCTCCAAAGGGTCAAAGTCAGTAGACTGGCAGGTGAGAGTCCATGGTGCGGAAGGGCTTTGAAGCAGACTGGTTTTACACTCGGAGAACTCTACACAATTGCAATGCAGAGCTTTAGGCCCAACATAGCTAAATAGAAGGAGCCAAATGACTGTCTTTCTAAATAGCTTCATATGTTCAGGCAAATGATAAGCACATAGCAGAACAATTATACAGGAAAGATGCTTAGTTATGGAATGTTGGGGATTTTTCTTGTCTGTTTTTATAATTTATTTCATTACTTACAGATAAACTTGTATTGATGATTTAACAAATCTGTTGTGTTATTTCTAATAGGATATTGTTTGGGAAAAAATTATTTTATCTTAAAAATGTGTAAAAAATGCTAACCTCAGACTTTAGGAATTACATATTATATAGCTAAGAAGCAGTTAAAATCCAGACTATGTAAGACTCTGAAACAACTCAATAGCAAAAAACAAAACAAAACAAAATCCAATTCAGAAGTGAATACATCAGGCTTGGCGTCATAGCCTAGCAGCTAGTTTTCTTGCCTTGCATGTGCTGGGATCCCATTTGGACGCTGGTTCTGGTCCCAGTGACCCTGCTTTCCATCCATGACCTGGGAAACAGTCAAAGCTGGCTTTTGGACCCTGCACCTGTGTGGGAAACCTGGAAAAGGCTCATGGTGCCTGGCCTTGGATCGACTCAGTTCCAACCGTTGTGGCCACGTAGGGAGTGAATCATTGGATGGAAGATCTTCCTCTCTGTCCTCCTTTCTGTTTATCTGTCTTCCCAATAAAAATAAAAATAAATCTTTTATTAAAAATGGATATATATAAACAAACGTTCTACCAAGACAGACATAAATATGACCCACAGGTACATGACAAAATTATAAGCATCACTAATCGTCAGAGAGATGCAAATCAGAATCACAGTGAGATAACAGCTCACTTCTCTAAGATTGACTGTTATCAAAAAAGCAAGCGTTCACAAGTGAAGGCAAAGATATTAGGAGAGGAAGCCTTTCACAGTGTTGATGTAGGTTAAATTACCACAGCCCTGGTGGAGAATAGTAGAGTCTTTATACAACTAAAAAACTATGGTGTATTCCATCAGTCACGCTTCTGGGTATAAATCAAAGGGAAATGAAATTTATCAGTTGAGAATATACCTGTGATCCTATACATGTTGCAAAAATACAACAGCCAAGAATGAAAATAATCCAAGTATTCATTTGCTGATGGTTAAAGAAAATGTAGTACATAGATACAATGAAAAATTACTCTCCCATTAAAATGATGAAATCATAACTGTTGCAATAACATGAATGGAACCAGAGATTATTTTTTTTTAAATGAATGAAGCTAAGTACACAAAGACATGTATCACATGATCTCTAATATGTTGAATTTAAAAAAAACAGGTGAAATATTAGAAATTATGATACAATAATGAAGATGAAAGTTAGGAAGGAAGGAATAGAGAAAGGGTGATTAATTGGTAGTGAATTATAATTAGATATGAATGTGAAATCCTGGGGTTCCATTGCACTGTAGAATGGCTAGAGAAATGTCAGTGTACTGTGTATTTCTCCATTATTAGAAAAGAAGTAAAATGTAAGATTTTGGGTGCTTTTTCTAAAACATAATTTTATTTTTTTCATAAATAACAATTTTACTATTTAAAAGATAACTGGTTTTCTGATGTCTTTTTTATGATTATTTTATTTTGATAATTTTTACATAGTTGATTAGGGCACAAAGGGTCAAGGGCTAAAGGAAAGTGGGTAAGACCATTATTTTCACATTCTCTCTCTCTCTCTCTCTTCTCTTTTTTCTGTATCTGGGCTAAAGGGGGAGATATAGGGAGAAGCCCCACCCAGCCTCCCAAACATCCCAGGGTCCCCAATGTGGGACATTCTCTGAGGGCACTGTTGAGTGGTTTTGATAGTTCAACAGTTCTGAATTGTTGCCAATGTCACCATTCCAAGCACGATGAAATGTTTCCAGAATCCATTGGTGACATAGTCCACCTCAGAAACTCTGTTTAGCAATGAAAATCTGAGCAATAAAAAGTAACTTTAAACACATGCTTCCAAAAAGAAATGCAGTTTCCCTGATTCAATATTGCATAATATATGCACATAGTGTAATAGCAGCTAAGTACATTTGTACAGTTTCTGGGTATCTGATCCCATAGTAGTGTGGGATCAGCATTCGTAAGCATCCCAAATGGAATAGCAGCTTGAGTCCAAGTACCTCTATTTCTGATTCAGTGCTGATTCCGTTCCTGCTAAAATGCCTGGGGAAGTGTTGGAATATGCCCCAAATACTTGGGACCCAGACATTCATTTGGGAAACCTAGATGGAGTTTCTGGCCTTTGGTTCCTGCTTGCTCAGCCTCAGCTGTGGGAACCATCCATGAAATGAACCTGTGAAGAAGAGCTTTCATTCTCCTCATGCAAAGCAACAAAAGTA